CCCCCCTTTTTGCCCCTCCCCCCTTCCACCACCCCCCCCCCCGGCAGGCGCCCTCGCCTGCCACGCCCGCCCCGTCCCTATCGGCCCCCTGTTGCCTGCGTGGCGCCGCCTCATGGACACTGCCCCCGTCACCGCCCCCACCGCCGCGACGGGGTCCAGCTCAGCAGGCGCGGGCGATGTGAAGGCAAAAGCCGACGTGAACTTCAACCCTAAGGATGAGCCGCTGACCACCCCCAAAATCCCGGCAGCGACGAGCGGCCCCGCCGTGGCCGCTTCCAAGGCCGGTGGGGGTTCCGCAAGCGGCGGGAGCTCCGCACCCGCCGGCGGCGGCGTCCGCGGCGGGCTGGTCACCAACAGCGGCGTCAGCCGGGGCATTGCCAGCGGAACAACGACAAACAGCGGCGTCGGCGGCCGCACCGGCGCGACAAGCAACGCCGGCGCCGGCGTTGGGCTAGGGGGTCGGCCCACCAGCACCATCGGCAACGGCGGCGGCAGGAGTGGCTCCAATGGTGTCGGTTCCACACTCGGCAGTGCCACACAGGGAGCCAGTGGTGTTTCCGCCGGTGTGGGAGGGACGTCCGCAGGCGGCACTGGCGGGGCAAGTGGCGGGAGCAATGGTGGCACAGCAGGCAGCAGCGGTCTGACGGTCAACAGCGGCGTGGGCACTGGTGTGGGCAGTGGTGTGACATCACAAAGTGGCAGTGCGACGAGCAACGCTGGCGCTAACATTGGCCCGATCTTCCCCCTCGATGACAACCGGGGCACTGGGGGTGGTAGCAATGGTGGTTCTGGCAATGGTGGTTCTGGCAGTGGGAGTGGTGGTAGCAATGGTGGTTCTGGCAGTGGGAGTGGTCGTCATTGATTTACGCGTGAGGTGCAGGTCCTCCACTCTTGACAACAAGATTTTCGCTTGAGCATCAGTGAAGAGTGTGCGGGTGTCGCCTGGCCAAACATGCCTGGTGTGTTGTTTGTAGAACGTGGGATGAATGCATTTTAATCGAGAGTGTTGCAGATTAATCTGCAACCGATGGGCAAGTTGTCTGTTGAAATCCAATCGGCGTAAGCACAATATTTTGTGCGCAGGATTGTATAATCTGTGTCCTTCCCAGTGCAACAGATGATGACTGTGGAGAAGTGTGAATGCTATCTCCCTTCATCTTCTGCCACCACTGTTCACTGTGTATGCCATCGCATACCAGGTGTATGGCATGGAAGAGTGTTGCATCCTCCGCATTGACTAATAGCTCTTGTAATCTGGTTGTTAGTTTGCAGCTGTGCAACAACATTTTGTTGCCCCTGTAATAAGTGTGCGAAGGTATCATAACTGCAACCTCAAAAAGGAAGTTGGCATAAAACGAAAAGAGTGCTGCGTGAAATAAATTGCCTATCAAAATGAGATGATGTACGCAAGCTGCAACGTTACGAAATTGTGCAAGAATTTTGCAGCAAAGTTTCTGCAGTTCTGCAAACGCAATTCCATGTCATATCACTGTAGTAACACATGTGCAAAAGGAATGCAACAATACCAATGTACTTCATTATGCAGCAGCATCGCACATGGCAGGCGCCAATATAGGTGCCTACTATGATCTAAACACAAGCATGCCAAGCGTTCGCACTTGCCCTGATCACCGCCGCCCTTGCTCAGTAGCACCATCGGTCTACTGCAATTTGGCCTACGTATACATATTTGTCACCATGTTCAAGACAAGATGCATTCATCAATGCCATTTTCCAACTTGAGCATCCACACACTTGTCTATAGTGTATCTGAACATGCTATCAGCAATGATTACATGTTTACTGGGTAGTGTGCAGACCGTCGCCAAAGGCATGCCACATACACTGCAGATGTTGGCAAGCAGGGTTGTGTTCGAAGCGCGTTCGGTATTCCTGCCCAAACTCTCTCTTACAATACGACATCATGAGCATTCACAGACACTGTCGTGTCACCGCTATGCGTCCTCAGACCGCTTCCCCGGTTACCGAAAAGAAGGTGTGCACTCATCAGCAGCTTTGACTCATGCTACCAGCTACCGCATGGCGGCGCTGTGCAGGGCAGGAAGGTGTGATTCACGGTAACCTGAATCGGAAGCCTTATTTTTGAATGATAGAGTAGGCGCTGCTGTGAGCGAGCCTGCCCGTGTCAACGCGGTCCGACTTTGGGTCGGTCACCGGCAACGCATACGGCTTCCAGTTACCTCCCTTTTACCCCACAAACTGAATAACAGCATCAAAAATAATTTTTCGTCAATCAAAATCGCCGGCACCGCCTATTTAGGTTGCGTGAACTCTTGTGGCACAGTCGCACTCACCAACCCCTCCCCCTCCCCCACCCCTAGCAAGCCGCACGATGCGCGCCCACGCCACCACCCCGGCTGCAATCATGGCGCTCCTACTGGCAGGTGAGGCACATGCATCGTACTCTCAGCTCAAAGGCCACCACCCGATGCATGGCAGCTGCGGCATTTGGGCGGACTCCTCTGCTCGACGCTTGTCACCCCGAGCAAGCGTCGGCTGCGCGCCGCCCGCGTGCCCACTCAGCCGGCAGGCGCACGCTGGCTGGTGGGAGCAGCAGCCTAGCGCGTGCAGGGAACCAACCCATGCGGCGCCTCGGCGCCACGGCACTCGCGCGGCCTGGCTAGCCCCCTCCCCCTCGACATGACACATACCCTGCGGCACGCTCATCTCACCCCCTCCCCTTGTCTCACTCGCCATCGACCTCCCCCCAAACCTTGCAGGCGCCCTCGCCTGCCAAGCCCGACCCACAACTGCCACAGCCAACGGCGTGTCTGCCAATCGCCGCCTGTTGGCCAGCCCCGCCGTCACGGACGCTGTCACGGGCGCCCTGCCCCCTGTCACGGGCGCCGCCGGGGGCGCCACGGGCGCCGTCACCGGCGCCGCTGGGGGCGCCACAGGCGCCGTCACTGGTGCCGCCAGAGGCGCCACCGGCGCCGTCACCGGCACCGTCCCTGCCGTTAAGGGCGCTGTCACCGGCGCCGTCCCCCCTGTCACTGGCGCCGCCAGGGGCGTCACTGGCTCTGTCCCCGCCGTCACGGGCGCCGTCACAGGCACTGTCCCTGTCGTCGTTGGCGCCGCCAGGGGCGCGACCGGCGCCGTCACTGGCGCTGTCCCAACCGTCACGAGCGCTGTCTCTGGCGCGGTCCCCCCTGTCGTCGGCACTGTCAGCGGTGTCGCTGGCGCTGTCCCCGCAGTCACTGGCGCTGTCACTGGCACCGTCCCCGCCGTCACCGGCACCGTCCCCGCCGTTACTGGCACTGTCTCTGGTGTTGTCCCACCAGTCACTGGCACCGTCAGGGGCGCCACAGGCGCCGTCACCGGCACCGTCCCTGTCGTCGTGGGCGCGGCCAGGGGCGTCACCGGCGCCGTCCCCGCCGTCACCGGCATCGTAACCCCCGTGAAAGCGACCACCGGCGTGGGTGCCACCGTCGGCCGCGCCGTGGGCCTCAACACCAACGTCGGCGCCACCGTCGGCGGCGTCGCGGGGTCCAAGGTTGCCCTTGCCCTCGGCACAGACCGTCTCGACGACGTGAAGATCGACACCGGCCTGAACACTGCCACCACCGCTGGTGATGGCAGCGCGGGCACCAACGCCGGCGCCGGCGCTGGCACGGGGCTTGGCGGAGCCGTGGGCAAGGTCGGCAGCACTGCTGGCGGCGCAGCGGGCAGTGTTGGCGGCAGCGTCGGGGGCACCGTGGGCAGTGTGGGCGGTGCGGCCCGCAGCGTGGGGGGTGCTGTCGGCGGCGCAGTCAGCAAGGCGACCAAGGGGATTGGCCGCCACTGATTGGCTGGCTGTGGAAGATGATTGCGGGGCTGGCGTGCTGCCACCCGAGACAACGCATGCCTTATTGTTGCGCGCGTGCACCCAATCAACGATGTTTGGACAATAATCAAGCGAGGCTGGCCATTGTTGGTGCGCTGTGCAATTGCCTGAATAACTCCACCTTACTATTGACGCAGCCGCCTTGACCAACTTCCTCCGGTCCTGCCTTCCTCGTGAGTGTACTGCTGTGCCAGCATGTCCTGCTTGGCGCCCTCAATAGTGCCCTTTTGCCCCCCCTGAGCAGGGCCCTTTGCCTGCCGTCAAGCCTGCGTGCTTGTGCCCGCCCTTGGCATCGCTGTATTGACACGATGCACCCAGTGCACCCAGCTTTGAATGGCGATGGGTTCCCCTTCCCTTGCTCATTGACTTTCCCTGTTGCATGTTGACTTGTCACCAGTGCGTCTGCAGCGAGCTCGGTGACGTGGACAAGTTTTAGGGATCAGGACGTCTAGCCGGGGATGAGGTGCAGAATGCAGTGACTCGCAGATTCAACATATGATGTCGGCATATTTCAACCAATGAGCCAATGCACAAGAGCGTGGTGTGTATTTTGGCAAACTGGGTAACGACGGTGGTCTCACGAGTCGCGCAAACTTATGATATACCGCAGCAGCGGCGTTCAACCGCAGCGGCAGCCTGCCAGTGACGGAGTCGGTGCACGTGACTCCTGGCCGGCAAGCTGCATACATCCCGCTCAATGACAATCAGAACCAGATGTGTTACAAGAATTGACAGCCGCAGATGCAAAAACCACCTACTACACTGGTGTGTTCACCGGCAACTTCACAGCCCCGCCGGCAGACTCTCCGCCGACCTCCGACCCCGCCGCCGCCCGCTGCGCCGCACCAAACCACCGCACAAAGTCGAGCCGACGCGCCGGCACGCCGCCGCCCTCGGAGCGGCTCGCGCGGCGCCTGTGCCACGCGCGCCGCCACTCGGTGGGCCCACTCCTGACTACGTAGGCGACTCCGCCGATCTCCACCACCGAGCCGCCGCCTGGGCGGTCGAGCAGGACGGGTGCGACACAATCGTCAGGATCAGGGGGCGGGTGGCTGGATGTGCAGTGTTGGGG